CAGTGTGGACCGATAATCCCAAATGGTCTTGAAGGGAGCCGCTTGTGTGTAGGTGTGGTGGGGAACGTGGTGAAGCCCCAGTGTGATTCGAAGGTTTTGCTTAGTGTGAGGTGGTGGAAAGGAATCCACAGTAAAGCTCTTGAAAATCTTTGCTTGCAGCAGAAACTGTTGTTGCAACCTCCCGCCTGCCCTTAAATTCACATCCCTGCAGTCTTAAGCTGATGTGTAATCTCTGTGGGAAATGCAGACTTAATAATCAGTCGAAGGACTCTTTCGTGTCAACAAGAGCCTGGTTTATTTTGCTTAATGTTTGCAGCCATGTTGGTCCTGTTCAGCTTGAATTTGGGACCAGCTCCTTCTGCCTGTTTCTGTCTAGAGAATGGAATTCAGATGCACTTTTTTCTTTCTTTTTTTTTTTCTCCCCCTATCTCCAGGGTGGTGAACTGAAGGACAAATATTTGTCTTTCCTGGTCTAACACGTTTTTATAAAGTGCTGAGAGCTCTCTCTTTATTCAGCTGTGTAACTGCTCTGTCCACCTTAAAATACAGAAAAAAGCTCAAGGTCAGTCATCTGAGAAACAAAACTGTTATGAGCTTGGCTGGTGAATAGAGATGCACATGGCAGAGGCTTGGCAATGGGAAGGAATGTGAGGAGCAGAAGTCTCTAAAGCAGTCCTGACCCTGCCTCAGCCCTGCAATGCAAAAGGGAGCAGTATGGTTATTGCTGTCAAACATTAGTGCAGGGCCTGGCTGTCAAAGGGAGCATTTGGTACACAAGGTTGTTTTCCAAGATCCAGCCTGGAGCGTCCTACCTCAAACCTAACTGTGAGTATCTGCAGGAGGTGCAGATTTCCCAAGTGAAGTCCCTCAGCAAGTGGCGGTGGTGCAGGAGTGATGGCAGCCTGCTTGACCCTGTTACTGCCCAAGCAAAACTCCCTCCTCATCTCACCAATGCTAAGTGAGTAGGGGTGGATGCAGAGGTGTCTCATAGTTTTTTGTTCTAGTGTGTGTGATTATTATTATTTTAAATAAAAGCTGTGCTTTTTAGCTGGAGTTCCTCTTGCCTCTGCATGCAACATAGTTAGGATCTTATTTCTGTGTTGGAAGGGAGGGGTGTATGTGATGGGAGCAGTGGTTCTGTAGCAGGGAGGGGTTCTCATGTCAGAACTGCTTGTTCTTAAATAATCTTTGGAAAGGTGTGGAGGAAGAATGAAGTTTGAACTAAGTAAATCACCCTTTTCTTCTTTACCTCCCGCTTTTTTTTCCACTCTTCTAAAAATATTTTGCTGGAGATGATGCCCTTGAGGCAAATGCCAAATGCTGACTTTCAAAAGGAAGGACGGTACTACTAGCACTGGCTCAGTGGTGGATTTGTTAAATCTGTTGCATGAAAGTGTGTGTGTTGTCTTTTATATAGACAACAGAATCTAGAAGCAAAACATGGATGAAAAGTTTAAGGTAGGTTAATTGGAAGAAGGCCTGAAAAAGCACAAACATCAATTCATAGGTGCTACATTGTTATCACTGTCCCTTGTGATGCTTCTCCTAGACAGTTCACCCTGCCAGGCAAAATGTCTTTCTCCAAGACACTAATTAGGGTTCCTTCCACTCTGTAGCACAAAATCAGAGAGTGATTGACAGCAAATGAGAGAAGCCCTGCTTGCAGTTAAATGTTAATCCTTCCTCCACTTTCCCAAGCTTCCTTATAACTGTACCTAGGTTCTGCTGAACTTAGTTGCTCTGATATCCCCAAGTTCATTTGCAAGTGGTGGGGAGGATCTGGAGGGACTGTTAGTTGGGCAGGTTTGGCCCACAGACAAATCCAACCTGTTTTATTGCTGTGTTTTGGAGGAATAGCTGTTATGTCAGGCAGAGGCCCATCAACCAAAGCTTTGTGCTGCTGGGAGCTGCTGCTGTATCCCTGAGACCTGTGAGGGGGAGAGTGGAGCTGCATCCTGGGGCTGGGATCTGGCCGCTGCACTGGAAGTGCAGGATCTGCCCACAAGAGGCCCTGTGTTACTGTGGTGATGGTGACAGGGTAAATAACTAGACGGACTGGAACCTCAATTGCCATCTGTCCAACTTCTTAATCACTCTGGTTTTTTTCCTGGGCTTTTATTATAAAGATTTTGATGGGGTTAGGTGGTGTGATGCTCCTGGCTGATCTGGGCTATGTGCAAACGGAGGAAGAGTAGAGGTATGCACCCCAAGTACTTGCAAATGAGGCAGCTTCTTGGCCATTCAGTACTGCAGCAGGAGAGTGACAGCTGTGTGCTGTAGGCTTTATGACACCGTCCCTCTTAACCTGATGTTTCTGAAGGTCATGCACTAGAAACTGTACAGGGAGGAGATCTCAGGCTTTGAATGTCTCAGTCACTGTTTGTCCCCAGTTAAGCTCCAGACATGTTGCTTGCATCCCTCTGCCTCTTTTTGCACACTTGAGTTTCAGCATCTGTAAAATGGAGATGATTACTGCTGTGGTCATGTAGGATGCAACTGCAAAATCAAAAGACCTTTCAGTAGTTGTATATTAACTATATGGGGGAAGCTAGAACTCGCAAAAGTCTTTGGTTACCTGAGCAGGCCCTGCAGGCATCCGGAGCGGCAGTTGCCACAACAGCAGGGCTGCCTGAAAATAGATAATCAGTCCTTAACAGAATGAATTAATCTTGGCATTGCTTATTGTTAGTAAAGTAAACATCCGATAGCCTTGTATGCATAAGCAGGTGTCTCTTTCTCTTTTTTTTTTTTTTCCTTTCCCCCCTCTGCCCCACTCCTAAAGGAAACTTGACTGCTCAGACTAGTAAAACATCTAATCTGGAAAAGCCTTGAGATCTCAAAAAAGATATGCTCAGTGTATTCACCTATAGGTTAAGGAGAGAAAAGCAAGTGTCAGTGTTGACAGTAAAGAGGAGGCAATTTGTAACCCTGTGCATGTAAGGGCAGTAGCTCTTGCTCAGGGACATTGCAGCCACCCTGGGTGAGGAGCAGCAGGAGCTCAAACTGGGATGTGGAGTAGCAGCAGCAGGTCTGTGCTGAGTAGGGTGTTGACCGGGTCCAGTTTGCAAAATTCTTCAGCTGCGTTACTGCACCTGCAGCCATGGTCTTAATTAGCTTTTCTTTCACAGGAAATGAAAATGCTAAATCTTTTGGCTAGATTCAGCAATTGGACTTTAAGGCTAGCAGGAGGGTGTCAGGGTAAAAATGTGTGTGAATGGAGCGCTAATGAGTCACTCTGAGAAGTTTAACTGTTGGGCTTGTCCAGGAAGCTCTTACAGAGGTGGCTTTGTCTTGTAAAGGATGGGGGAGTAATGCTCTACGGATTTGCCTTGGGCAGTTACAAAGCTGCAAAGCTTTCACACCTGGACTACTGTGTCCGTTTCTGGTCTCCCCAGTACAAGAAAGGTATGAATTTACTGGAGTGAGTCCAGTGCAGAGCCACAAAGATGATGAAGGGACTGGAGCATCTCTCATATGAGAAGAAGCTGAGAGGGCTGGGACTGTTCAGCCTGCAACAGAGAAGGATGCTTAGGCAGATCTCATCAATGTGTTTAAAAACCTGGTGGGAGGGAATGAAGAAGGGGGAGCTGGGTTCTTCTCAGTGGGTGCTTGGGCAAGAGTGACAGAGGCAATGGGCACAAGCTGAAACACTGGAAATTCCATCTGAACTTTTTTTTTCCCCCTCTAATTGTAAGGGCAGTCAAAGACAAACAGGTTGCTTTAGAGGTTGTGGAGTTTACATCTCCAGAGATATCCAGAACCTGACTGAGCCCTGAGCCGGATATGGTAGGGTTACAAAGGGTGAGGATGGGATGCTTATGTCCTGTTAGGCACTGCAAGTTACTGTCTCATGCAAGGGCAGGAACTGCCATTTCAAATTGCGTTCTTAATAGAGGCTCCCAAAGGAAACAGGCTCCAAGACTTGCCTGTCCTCTTTGGATTTAAGGGCCTGCCTTGTCCAGTGGTGAGCTACTCTGTGCAGGTACTTGGTGCTCCCCGGTTCTGGGCTGCATTGGCAGAACACAATGTAGGAGTTGAGGCCAAGATGGAGGCATAGCACAGTTATGAAAGTTTGTCCTCTGCTGGATTTACAGTGCCTGAGGTGGAGTCTGGGTGTAAATCTTTCAGCTGTTGCCCTGCTCCCTTTCTCCAGTCTGGTTTAGTGGGGAGGGAAGTCAAGTTAATAGTGCCGCAGCATTTGCAGCATGGGTACATCCGTAAGCCAGTCTAATTCCAGCCACAAGCTCCCGGCTGCTGTCCCCATGAGCAGCCTCGCCGGCTGGGTGATCTTGTTCACCCAAAGGCATGCTTGGGATTACATTTCCAAAAGACTCTAGCCTCTACTGCTATGTACTCCTGACTCCTGAAGTAAGTGAGGGCTGTTTTCTCATCTTTCAATTTTGGGTATGAGCTGTATGAAAGAGGTAGGTGGGAGTCATTCTTGTCTGCCCATGTGATACTTTGCTCATTTGTGAAGCAGAGCGCATTTTCCACATCTGATGCAGAGCTCTATGAGGTAGCCAAGGGTCTTGTGAAGCTCCTTTGGGAGGAAGGATGCAATGGCAGATCTCAATACTTTGCAAACTGCATTAGGGTAGCCTGGGATCTATGTTTTGTGTGTGTTTGCTTAATTTTATAACACAAGTTATTCATGTTGTTCCCAATTGGGTAGGTGGAAGCTACTGAACTCTCTTCCTCTTACATCTGCTGCATTTGTCCACTGTGTGTTGTCTGACAGTCACCTCTGACCTGGAGACAGAGCTGTGATTCTGGATTAGAGTAGCAGCAAGGAGGCTGATTAGAGCAGCAGGCACTTCTGTAAATGACCTCTGGATCTGAATAACCAGTCCAGTGACCAATGCTGTTGATCTCCCTGTGGATATTGTCAGCATCTAGGTCAGACGGAAGAAGGGGGACAGTCTTCTCCCACCTAGATTTGGAGCTGTTTTGTTCTTTGCCTTCAGCTAACAACATCTGTACTCTCCTTTCTCTTCTCACAGGTAGATGCAGTGCGGGTGTACGTGAACAGCAGCTCTGAGAACCTCCAATATCCTGTCCTGTTTGTAGTTCGCCAACAGAAGGGAGTGCTGTCATGGCAGGTCCCACTAATTTTTCGAGGCCTGTAAGTACTGGAGTCTCTTCCTTGTAACACACTTGTTGTATCCATTACTGGCCTTCCTCAAGTGCTAGACCTTGTGACTTCTGTAGACTGCAGGGCTTGGTTGCAAAGTATGCTGGCTCACTGTCAGCTGAATGTAGGAAGACCAGGATTTGGTAGGTAACCTCTTACTTGTAGCCTGCTCTTGTCTCTTAGTTTCTCAAATATGTACACGGAGTACCAGGAGGCTTCTCTGCTGGGGATCTGCCTGTGTCTCTAGTCAGTGACCATAACTGCAGTAATGGTGTGTGCAAGTAGTTCTTGGGCTCTAGTTTGGAGCAGGGTTTGAACAAGCACTCAGAAGAGCACTCTAACTGCTGTGTTACAGTGCATTTGTGAAATAAGGGCTCTCTTCTCTTTCTCACCCCAGGTACACCTACATTGAGTCTATTCTGGGGGGGTGGTGGTTGTTTAGAGGGTGTTTTCTTTGTGAAAGTGATGCTGCTATGTATCTTCAGCAACCTCGGAGCTAGTTAGGCTGCAAGTACCGAGACTTTGCAGGCACCTTAGACCATCTGAGATGTGAAGCTTCATCCTGGACTGAAATCTTCGTGCCGGGCAGCAGATACCCTGCAGTGTCTTGCCTGATGCAGGGGATGGTTACAGCAGTGGCTGTTCTGGGCTGTCATTGCTCTCTCTGCCTCCAGCAAATGGCAGATTTGCTAGATCTGCAGATGGCACAGGCAGCCTCGAGGGAAGTGCAATGTTGGGGATGGCCAGTCCCTTGTGCAGGCCACAAGAGGCAACAGAGGTGGAGTTTGAACTATGAATAAAAGGCTGAATGGTGTTGGCCTTTCAGATTAGTATTTCAGTTATGCAAACAGGGGAAAAATTATGTCATTCTTGGAACTGTCAAACAACTTTTTTAACTGCTCTCTTTTCCATTGAACTTTCCCTTCCCTCCTTCCCCTGGCCGTTGTAGCTATCAGAGGACCTACAATTACCAAGAAGTGAGTCGGACCCTCTGTCCTTCTGAGCCAACACCTGAGACGGGACCTTCTGACCAGATTATATTTGTGGATGTCGCTTCCATGGCACCATTTAATATTGCATATGAGCTGCTAGTCACCAGGCTCGAGAACTTCCAACTTGAGTAAGCTGGGATGTGAGAATACAAATATAATTTCTTTGTGTATCTTTTATACAGGGATTTGGTCCATCTGCCTGCTTTTCCCTTCTTTTTTCCTTCCCAGAAAAAAAAAAAGATTATTTTTTTCTTCTGCTTAATCTGAAGGTACTTTGTATGTATTCCAGCTCTGAAATTTTTAGATTTTAACATGCTGGCATTTCTTTTCTAGGACCAACAAAGCCTTTAACTTCACTGCCAGCCCTTCCCAGCCCCAGGTAAGGAGGAGTCCTGTGTGGCATTGCTTGTATGTCTTACCACATCCAAATGGTTGATGTGATCCTTTGTTAGACATAGCAAAAGCCTTATATGACTAGGTCGTTTCCCTCTTAGGATGCAGGGAAACTTCCTTACTGCTGAATTTTCTGTAGATATGATGGAGAGGTAGCAGTACCCCCTCTAGGGGCACGTCTGGGTCCTCTTGCAAAGCAATTAATAGAACCAAAACCCATGACCAGAGCAAATGAATGGTATCTGCAGTTCAGGAAATTCCAGAAATGTACAGAAGTCCAGAGGCCATTGGACTGCTACACTTCATGGGAAGTAAGATGGTGCGCACCAGTGTCTTGTTCCAGCCAGCGCTGTTTCAGTTGCCTGAGCGTGACTTGCCAAGATGCAGTCTTTACTGGAGAAAAATAAATACATAAATAAGCTATAAAGGTACAGCAGAACACAGATTGCTATTCCTTGCCTAGGGCAGCAAGTCGTGAGGTGAAAAATGAAATGCCTGATAAGTCTGGTTATTAGCTCAGAAGAGAGCACACATGTACAACACATCCAACTGAGCGGCCTTGTTTAGAGCCCTGCAGACACTACAAGTCCTCTCTTGAATGAAAATGCTGTTGGCAGTAACTATAGTGATACAGGAGCTCACAGAGCTGGGGAAGTATGTAATTTACCCAGGCTGTCTGGTACTCCATTTTCATTGTTGCTAATCATGGTTAGTAACACCACTTAATTTTAGGTTTCCTATTACCAGGCATCCCAGCTAATCTGTTTTTCTGTCAAATGTCTTAAGCTGGTTTGCAGATACATGCAGTATTTTATACTATAGAAGCATAGGGAATGGTGGTGGCTCTTTATAAACCCTTATTACTTCAGATGTTGTAATTTGAAGGTAGGGTGTTTAGGATCTGGCCTGGAATTAACTTTGTAACTCTGGTATGTTCTTTTTCACAATTAATAACATGAGGTTGGTGACTTTTAATTATAGACCGGAAGTGGAGAGTAGCAGATGAGTGCTTTTTAATTGCTATAACGCTGAGGTTTTTGTAAATCAAAGTGTTAAGTAGTCAGGGGATGGGAAGAAAAAAAAGGCAATTCAAAATTTAGATGGGTGTTGGAATAGCCCTAAGACTGGAAAAAGACAAGCATAGCAACTGAAGGAGTTGCCTGGAACCTAGCTCATGCCTGAGGGCAGAAGGGGAAATTAGATATGCTCATATAGGTCAGGAGTGTTGTCTGGATGTGTTTCTACCACTCGCAGTCTGTGCAGCAGAGAACTGTAGGTCTCAATGCCCCTTATGTTAATTCCGTGCTCTGGTATAAGTGTGGCTTAAAAAGAAAATTATAAAAGGGCCCTCATGGGTGACTTCCTCAAGGACCTAAAGCTTTCCAAGGGTAGTGCACCTGGGAAACCAAGGAGCTCAGACTGCCAGTGTCCTTGTGTGGTGGAGATAAAACACAGTACACTGAAGAAACCGGCTTGGTGAGTTTTCAGTTTGTAAGGACTTGTGGTTGGAGCCAGCGCTCCCTCAGCAGTGAAGGGACCCTGCTTGGAGAGGGGTGATGGGAGTAAACGCTTTGGTAGAAATGGGGAAACTTGGAAAAAGCCTCGGTGACTTATTGCTTATCCCCCCCTTCCAGTTGGGGGCCCTACTTTCTGGAAAGGGGATGGGGGAAGGGAAATAGGAAACGGCTGGCCCTTGCTCAGCACTAAGGTTTATGTGATGTAAAGGGAGCTCGCCAGCTGGGAATGTCTCAGGTTATGGTTTTGGAGCAGGAGATGTGGTAGCTTCTGAGGTGGCAGCAGTGGCTGCCAGGTGACCATAAGGAAGGGAGGAAGGTGGCTGGTGGCAGTCCTCAGCCTTGTGTCCACTCTGAGGTGGGGTGAGGTGCCCATCAGCCCCTCACGATAGCTGTGACTGTGAGCCTGAGCTCTCAGCGTCTGGGATCCAAGCAGGACAGTGGGAACCCTTGCAACAAGCCTGCCTGCTGGGGTGGGCACAGAAACCCTGCTTCTCCAGCAGCTGACTTGTGTAGTACATCAAACTTTTACTGGAAAAATATGCAAATGATGTTGCCTGGGACATCTTTTGCCCAAATCTGAAAAGGCCCTTGCTGGGACAGGGCAGGGCATTTCCTGGCCCCACAGACTGCCTGCCTTGTGGTCTTGCTCAAAGTACAGAGGCATAAGAAATGCCATTCCTTGCCCCCAGAGGAAAAGTAGGAATATTGGCAGACGTTAGTCTCTCCCAAATCTTTTTGGAGCTATAGCTGAATTATTTTCAAAGCTGAAGTGAGAATAGAAAAAACGTTTACCCTTTGCCCTCAAAACCAAAAAAACCCAAACCCCCTAAATCCTACAACAACAATATCAGGCATTTGTTTATGAAACTCTTCACAGAGTTACAACCATTTGACCTAATACTTTTCAGAGTCTTTCTTTGAGGCAACCCATCCGAGATAAACTCCATGATAAGTTCCATATATAAAGTATGGCCAGCAGTATGGAAACATCTGGAAATTGCTCATAGCAACATAAAATGGAGTAAGGTATAAAATGAATTCACTTAGCTTGATCAGGTGGAAAGGAGCTGAAGGGGAGCAGAAGCTATGCCATATCTTGCATGTTGAAGATGGCTGTGTCTAACAGCATGCTGTGCAAGGGGGAGAGTTGTCCTGTACGTATTTAATCTGCTCTTCTCTAGGTAAGGTTCTAATGTTTGAAATCTTAATTTCTGTGAAAGCCTTCCACATCCAACCCCAAAGCCCAGCTTGGGCTGTGCAGGTACCTTAGGGAGGCTCTGAAGCTACTGGCAATGGTGATTTTTGGACTGTAACTCTCGCCACTCTGCTTTCTCCTCAGTATTTTCTGTACAAATTTCCTCAGGATGTCGATTCAGTCATTATTAAAGTGGTGTCTGATGCAGTCTACCCATGCTCGGTTGTCTCCGTCCAGGATATTGTGGTAAGTCTGAGCAGAGAAGGGTAAGGAGCTGCTTGCTGGAGCTCTGTGTCCTGCTGTAAGGGGGTCTGTGCCCCAACAGAGAGAAGAGCCCTAGGAAGGCCTTCACCCTCATGTGGTGGTGGTGGTAAAGGGAGCCCCTGAAAGGAACAAAAATCCTGTGGGAAGGAGGCAAAGACAGAGATACTGAGTTCAAGCAGCTTATACAGAGATTTTTGCTGCAAATAGGTGAACAAGCTGTTCCTCTCCAGCCTGTCTATAGGGCATTTGTTATGTTCCCCTTGTGAGGTTTAATATCCTGCTGGCTTGTGACATGGGTCTATCTCTCCATGGAGTGGTGTTGAATGGGATGCTGGTGACAGTGCTGTTCCCTTGAGTCTCCCCTGGCTCAAGGCAGCGTGGGGAGCTTCTGATTTCCAGACATGAGGTCTCTCCTTTCCAATTCAATTTCCTCTGTATGCAATTACTCTTCCTTTTTCCTGGGAAGAGGAGAACAGCTGTTCCCTGCCATGGAGGTTGGCTGTTGCTTGCAGCTGCAAAATAGCCCCATATTTACCCTCCTTTCCCACGTCCCTGAATGATGCAGGGACCTGCAGTGTGGGAGCAGCAAGATGGTGATGGAGGTGCAAGATACCTTGGCTGCTGGTTCTGAAGTCCTGGCAGTTGCCTTTAATACCTGGGGTGAGGAGAGAAATGGGTAACACCAATTCCTGTCCACATCTCTGTGTTTGAATGGTGGAAGGGCAGGAGAGGAGACTGTGACAGGTGATTTTCAACCTATCAGGTATTAAGAGTAGTGGGAAAGAGTACAATGAAGGCAAGCACTTAGCATATAGTACAGACTGCGAAGTGTGTGACACAACCAGTGTACAGCTGAGTGTATGCACTGCCCTGTGGGAATAGTGGAGTGATCAGTCTGGCTGAATCCTCTTCTGGGATTGAACTGCAGCCCTCTTAGAATGCAGAGATCGGTGAGTGCAGGCCACAGCTGGTGTCTTCAGAGCAGCTTTTCTAACTTCTGAATGGATTCTGGTTGTTTTGTTCCCTTTGTCACCCCAGTAGGGGCTTTTTTCTGCTGTTCTACACTGTCTGTTCTCCTGCTGACTCCCTGCGTTCAGATTTTGTCCCTGGTTTAACCCTTAGTTGTGTCTGTTTTAGTGCCCAGTGTATGACCTGGACCATAATGTGGAGTTCAATGGTGTTTACCAGTCTATGACTAAGCAGGCAGCCATAACTGTGCAGGTGAGATGCTGGTTCTTGTCCCAGTGTTGGTTTTTTTTCAGTGGCTTGTCCTACGGATTCCTAGTTTTCTTTTGTTGATTCTGCTGTGAGCCTTTGCTTTTATTAGATTGGCTCATATAAGTAGAAGAAGCAATGTTACCTTTTACTACAAAACCTTGCTTATGTTTGCTTAGATAGGCGTGTTACGTGTGCTGAGGCTCTAGATCAGAGTGGCTGCAGCCACGTGTCTTCTGTTTGAACCCTGGCTCTTCTACCACTGAGTGGTGGTGGTAGGGCCTTTTTAATAAGCAAAGCTTAGGTAGGTGGTTTGCACTAATTAAAGTAAATAAATACATGCATTAGTATTGGTTTGCTTGTACTGGGGCACTGCTGTACTTCATACTGGTGAACTCAGTCAGCTTATTGTCAGCAAGGATAAGGGGAGCATCCCCAGAAGTCAAGCTCTGTCCAGAACAGGCTGATGCCTGTGTAGCAACTAAAACCTGATCTGTGGTCTTTTGGAGCACTGCTTCTCCTTCGCATCTCATGGATTCTGCTGCTTCCACCCCCCCACGCAGAGAAAGGACTTCCCAGGTGAGCAGTTCTTCGTTGTGTTTGTCATCAAGCCAGAGGATTATGCCTGTGGGGGTTCCGTGCCTTCTTCCATTCATGGTAAGTTTTGCTGGGAGGTCGATTTGGTTGCTGCATCTGGGTGATGGAGCAGCAGGAGTCCTTTGGGACCTTCCTGTGGGATGACACGGGATGGTCATATAGCTCTGTCTTACCAGGTAGCTGTGAGGAAAAGTGAAATATAAATTTGATATTGTTGGGTAGATTAAAATTCTTGATCAATTCAGGAGGTGGCTGGCTAGTACAGAGCCTGGCTTGCTGGGTTTACATGCTTTTCAGAGGAGTTGCTGGTGTCTTGGGAGATACTGGATACACCCAGGCAATGCTGCTTACAGCTTTTTGGTTGGTGTGTTGTTTTTTTGTTCCCCTACCCTGCCCCTGCTGTATTATTCTCCTGCCTGCATGGAGGCCCAGATGGCAGTTCCTGCAGAGAGCATCTTCTCCCACTGCTATCTTGGGTTCTATGACAGTCCTGGACTTGGGGGAACAAGAAAAATTAGTAATTTGGGGAGAATAATTTTACAAGAGACTTGTTCTAGTGCCTTTCCCGGGCAGAAAACACTGTGTCCACTTCCTGGGCAGTGGTAAAAGCAAAGCCTCCACAAGTCATGTAGTGGCTGTAACTGGAGTGGGGACATTCCTATTCTCAAAGCCAGATGGCTTCCTCCCTGTAGGAGAAGCAAGACTGCAACCAACAGATATACTGGGCTCCCCCCACAGCCCTGCACTCCCCCTGCCCCCCCCCCCCCAATTTCTTCCCTAAAAAAAAAGAATTGTTGCCTTCTGGGTGTCTTTCTCCTACCCTAAAGCTGTCAGCAGAGCCGTACTGGCAGGGTGTGCTAAGCCCTGCTGAAACGTAGCAAGTCACTAGCATAGTATCCTGCACAGAAGTGTTTTGCCAGAAGAGCTTTGGCCAAAGGCAAAAATGGTGTCCCAGTATCTGAAGTGAGAGAAACTGCGCTTTGGGGACTAGATGAATAGGAGATGAGATGCCCTTGGGATTCAGGCATCCAGACTTGAGCAATGTATGGAAGGCTCAAGCAAGGATTTCTAGTCTGAAAAACAGGTTGTGGATAGGGAGGAGGGGGGAAGTGTATGGAAAAGGCTGTATATTGACAAGTCTGACAGAGGTTTATAGCAAAACGACACACAGACTATAGTGAAAAGCCAGACCCTGGTGTTTTTGCAAGTGCAGAGAACAAAGATCAGGGCCAGAGATAATAAATGTTTGATTGTTTTTTATATTTGCTGTACACTTTGCATCTCACAGGGAATGTCAACCGTACCTGGAACCTGCAGCGGACAAAGAACCTTCAAGTGACGATTGTGCCCTCTATAAAAAGTCAGTATCTCTGGGCAGAGCAGTGCAACTTAACAGGGGGACTTGGCACTTCTGCCTAGAAGGGTATGGCTGGGCTGGCAGCCCTCTATGGAATGTTGCAGAAAGCACCAGCAAAGGAGTCAAAACCAATTGGAGCCTGGGTACCTTCCAGGAGATACCCATGGGCACACCAGCTAGCACTGGGGGTGAAGAAATGGGGGAGAGACCTTGCAACGGGTTCTGGCGATTCCTCTTTGTCCTGATGTTGGCTGGCATAGAGAAAGGAGATGGGTTTTGAAGGGTTGTTTGGGGCTGGGTGTTGTCATCAAGTGGTGTTGGGAAGAGCAGGACAGGAGTGCTGGCTGTGAGAGGGGCTGTCCCTGCCCTGACTGATGCCTTCTCTTTCCTCAGAGTCCGTTTATGTCCAGGCCATGTTCTTCAGCTTCCTGAGTTTCCTCTCCTTTTACCTGGGCTCGGTGGTTGTTGCCTTTGTGCACTACATCAGGTGAGTCAAGGGGGTTTACGAGAACAACCTTTCTGTTTCTCATCGTCCTCAGAGATTCCTCACCCTGCAGTACATTTGGGGCAAGTGGGGCAGCAAGCATCTGAACAGAGCAGCTGAAGTCCATAACTACTCAGTGGGCTCCTACTGATGATCAGCCAGAAAACTTTTCTTCCTCTGCTGTGCAGATCATGGCAATGATGAAAACCTAAGGCTCTGCCCTCTAGCTTTTGTAGTGCCCCACCCCTGGGTTTCCTTATATGAGGACACTGAGTGGTAGGTGGGAATTGTGATGGGACTACTCTGGGATATGGGGTGCCAGAGCACTGGGGAACCAAGATGCTTCCCAGAGTGCTGGACCAAGTACTGCAGTAAGAGGCAGTGACCCAAATAGGGCCTTGGAAGCCTCAAGCGTGCTGGTTTCCCTCCTGACCTGTCTCCTCTGCCCCAGAACTTGGTGCCTGGGCTTGTGCTGAGGAGGATATCTGCATCCACGGTGAACTTGAGCACAGCTACCATAACAGGTTGTTCTATGGCACAAAAAAAAAAAGGGAAAACTTCCTAGCTGCCCCAGGATTGTGTAACTGGTTGTCCTGCCTCTGGTGGATAGTTGTGGGGCTAAAAAAATCCCTCTGTTGCTTTGGAAATCAGAAAGGTATACAGCAAGCAGTCATGGCTGAGCCATGTCTAGTCCAAACACTGTTTTTCTTTTTTTGTTGTTGTTTTTGTTTGTTTCTTTTGTGGTTTATTTTTGTTGGGATTTTTTTGTTTGTTTTTTAGAGCTTGCACCATATTTACCTATTGGTGTCCTAGATAAACCTGCCATGGCTGGCAGGTGCTGGGGTTTGTGGCTGTCTCATGAGTGCTGCCTGTTCTTTTTCAGGGTTCGGAGGAAGGCTTCAGCTGGGAGATTGAGTCCTGAGGATGGTAAGGTCTCTTTCTGTTGCGTGACAGCTTTAAGTGAACAGCCCAGGTCCCAGGCCAGGCAAGGGACAGGCTGTCAGTCAAGTACCTTCTGTCCCTTCAAGCCTTTGTCCCTGTACATGTACCACAGAGCCTCTGGTGCTGGTGAAAGATGTTAGAGCTTCCTCTCTGCCCTCACAAGAGAGCGTGTTTGAAGCAGGCTCCCCTGAACCTGGTCCTGACCCCTACCCTGAGGTGCTGGCTTTTAGAGGGGTGGAGGAAGAGCAAGCCTTGGCTAGACCTGGCTGCAGGCTAATGTTCCTGATGTCAGGTCTGTTCATTTTTAAGCAAGGCACTTTGAGTTTTTCAGCTCCTGTGCTTTAAGATTTCCTCTGCCTGGTTTAAGCATGGGGTCTCTAATTTTTTAATTTAATTTAAATTTTAATTTGTTTTTAACTGGGAGTTGCAGACAACCAAATGAATGAATGACTAATACAGTTAGGTAGTGGTGTTTGTGTTATTTACTTTGGTATTAGATTCACTTTACTTTATGCTGCACCCACATTTCAACATACTGCAGATTTCTGCGTTATAAAAACATAGGTGTATGTAAGATGCTTCCAGTGAAAGATGGAAATTTTTGCTGTGTGGATGGGGGGGGGACAGGGCACTGGGATTTTCTGCTTTCTGGAGAAGTGTGGGAAGCTGGCCGTTTCATTTGTTTAAATATTTAGTGCCTGCAAAGTAGTTCAAAGCATTGGTCTGAGGATAAAGGCATCATCATTTGTACCTCTCTCCTGGGGAAAGGGAGGACGTTATGTTTTGGCAGCACTGAAAGGTTCTTGGTGTGTTCCCTTTTTTAATCCTCAGCTGCTTCAGTCCCTCTGGTCTGCTATATACCACCAGATAAACATACTAGTATAACTGAACTGTGCTTACAGGATCAGCAGTGGAACTTCACTCTGACCTGGCATTACTTGGGTTAATATTTTTGCCACAGACCTAGGGGCATTTGGATTCTCAGGAGTGGCTTCTTCAGCTACTGAGATCCTCATCTGCATCTCTATATGTGGAATGTATGTGAAAGGTTTTCTTCACAACCAAATAAGCAGGGGACTGTAAAAATGTGCTTAAAAATATTCTAATTTTAAGTAATTTGGGGTGGATCCTGCTGTGAGACAATAGCAGGTCTTAGCACGCTGGAAAAATGGGAAGGGTCAAACTCCCAATGGGGACTTTGGGGAAGCTGAAGGAACATGGCCAAGGCCCTGGAAGAGCTCCAGGGTGGTGACAAGGGATCATTGTTTAAGGCATGGAGCCACAGTCTCAACTGGGTGAGACCAGAAGCTCCAGGGAGTGCTGCTGGTGCTGTAGCTGAGGGTTCATGTGCTGAAGGCAGCTTAGAAGCTGCTTTCCAAGCTGCCCTGGTGGGAGGTGGAAGTTAAGTTCTGGTGCTTGGGAAGTTCCCAAAGAGGCTGCAGGGCATAGATGCTGTGCTTAGCATGGACCTGGGGGGCAGAGAACTGGGTTCCTGGTCAGGGGGGATTGCTGAACAGCATCCCTGTGAAAGGACAGAAGAACACAGTTTCTTCACAGTTTACAGGTTTCCTCCCAGAGGTACCTTCTCCTTCTGTGACCTGTCCTCTCCCTTGCACTCTATGCCACCTTCACATGCCTGGCACTGCATGTCACAGCCACGTCCTTTTGTCTGGGGAGGAGCCATATCCTACCCACATGCTGTTTCTTTATTGTGTCTCTTCAGGGTATGTGTCTGACTGATGCCTGTAAAATGGAAACTAGCATCTTCCCTGTCCTCCAGATCACCTAGGGCACACTGGCTTTCTCAATTTTTTTCCCCTCTTCCCACCTACTGGAATTTCTCTTCCTCCAAAGTACCTCTGGGTCTTGCCACCTTCATCACTTCCTTTTCCCCTTCCCCACCAAGCTCCTGTCATCCATCTTATGCCTGGTTTCTGTGGTTAACTTTTTTTTTAATCCTGTGGCACACCTCATGTTCCACATCATCACTATTTGGTGGAGGTGATAGCTGGAGGAACCACACCTAATGTGGTACATTTACTTTGCTGACTCACTCACACACTGGGAAGTGGGACTGAAATTAGTGGGTAGGCTGGGTCCAAAGCAGCTGTTAGAGACAGGACAGAGTGCCTCTTCTCCCTGGCATCCCTGCTTTGTCCAGATTTAAATCTTTCCTTGGTTACTTGGGAGACAAGGTTGACAGGTCACTTGAGAGCATAAAGCCTGGTCTAAAATAAGGACGGAGCATCCCCGTGGGACAGGACTGATGGTAGTAGGAATTCTGTGTGTGCCTTGGTGCCATGAACATGGGGCAGTGCTGCTTTCACTCTCTTCCCAGTGATCTGAATTTCCAAATGATTTTAAAGCAACAATAAAATGCCATGAGAGAGGGAGGGTTGCACAGCGGGTGATGATAGAAGGTGGATCTTGCTCCTGCAGAAACTTACGACAACATCCTGCTAATAACAGCTCGGGGCTCAAGGGGTGTCATGTGGGGGGACTGTGGTGTACCAGAGCCTTCCGTCTGGTGCTCAGTCCATGCCATGTTGTCCACTTCTGATGCTCCTTTGAGCTGTTTGTTGCCCTGTTAGAGGGATGGCGCAGAAGGGTAGAGAAGCTGAAATGGAGACCAAGTCTTAGTCCACAGCCCAACAAGCACAGTGAATGCGTCAAAGGAAAGCAATAATTTGTACTTGAAACATCAAATGTCATTGCTGTATGGGTGCTCCCCTGCCTAGAAGCTGGGCTCAGGCAGGGAAAAGTTTGGAGGCTCTTTAGGTATGTGGCTAATGGAAATGGTATAAAAACCTGTGCAAGGTGTTACAGAAGTGTCCAGAATTGCCAGCTGGAAACAGGAGTCTGCCTGTGCCTGTCAGTTTGGGACCGATCATGTACTGGGAAGCCAGAGGTACAGCTTGGGAAGCCAGGCCATTGCCAGGCTGCAGTAAGGTCGCTTGGCTTTAAATACTATCCCATGTCCTGTGTCCCTTTGCTGCTGACTGGCCACACAATGTTGTTGCAAGGGTGAAGCTTTATAAGCAGCTGGACCTGTCTTGCTGTTTGCCACCATGGGAAGACATGGTCCTGCTCCTGCTGCTCTTGCTTCCCTCCCTTTTGGGGAGATGGGTGTTTGACCCCTCAGTAAGGGGACTCAGCTGGCTGTGTTTCCTGCCATGTTTGTCTGCTGTCAGTTCAACAACTGAGCCCCACCGTAGGAGGCAAAAAGAGGGAATGTGGAGGCAGGAGGGGAAAGTCCCAGTGCAACCTGAGTGGGAGGTGCAGTTGTCCTTGCTTCAGATGTGTGGGTGGGAGGCAGGGAGTTCCCAGCCCTCAAAAGCTTGCCCTTCTCATCATCAGCACAAAATCGTGACCACTTTTTGCATGGAGCATTTTTTGCTTTCTCCTTGCTTGGTTAAAACTATGTACCAGCTATCTTGCCAAAGGCTGCCTATGACTCTTCCAGGGGTAATTGGAGGTAGCAATATTTGAATAGAACAATGCATGAGGAGGGGAAGGAGAAGAATTAGAAGTTCAGAAGGGTGCTCTGAATGTTGTGAGACTTGCTCTAGAATTTGTCAAGTCTTGCAGTCCCATAACGTGATCCTTACAGGGTGCTGGAGGGAGGCTTGTGCTTTTGTGAGTCAAACTGGCAGCCTGTGTGGGGAGGCTGAAGGGAATGGGTTTGCTTCACATTGCAAAGCGAGGGTTTCCTTTTGCACAGTGTGCTCTAGAGGGAGACTGCCATCTGTTTGGAGAAATGCTGCTTTTCCCAAGTCCCTCCAGCTCTTCAAGCTGTTTGTATTCACCTCAGAGATGTGTTTCAAAGCACTGATGTGAAACTAACTGTCCCTTTTGGGTCTGTTTCTATCGCAGGATCTGGGATTATGGCATCTTCGCACCCCATCACAGCCAGCACCCCTGAGGGAAGCAGCTATGGTGCTATTGGTACAGTGTCTTCCAGAACTGGGAGCATGGGGAGGGTTCTGCCTGGGGCAAGGAGAGGCACTTTAAGGTGCTTTAAAGCCAGAAGGGAATAAAGCTGCAAGTTACTTTAAGAGTGGCTTGCAACTACTTGAAAAAAATAATTGCAGCTTGGGAGGTTCAGGTTGCACTTTTGGGCAAAACATCTACATCAAAAAGGTGGCAGATCTCTGGAAGAGGTGCCCAGAGAGACTCTGTCATTGGAAATGTTTGTCTTGGCCAGACAAAACCATGGTCGCCTGGTAAGTGTTGGTGACAAAGCTGCTTCAGGCAGGAGGTTGACTAGGGACCAACAAAAGTCCCTTCCAACGAAACATCTAGGGGTCTGTCATTAGCTCATCAAGCCTGCCTTTACACTAAAGCATGCCTTTCACTGGAAGACTGAAGGGTTGTGTGCTGTAAGGCGAGAGAGAATCAGAGCTTCTTGCAGTTCAGAGGTTTCACTAGGGGAGAAATAGTGTCATGCTGTCAACAGGTGAACCGTGCCCTAGCAGCAGAGGAGGAAAAAAAACAAACTCCCAAGGTTCCTGCTAATCTGAGATGATGTGAAATGCCTTCCTTTGCCAGAGTTTCTTAGTCTCCTTCCAACAGTTTTCCCTCCTGTGGAGGGATTGGTACTGAATAGCTCAGTGCTGTGGACTTCTGGGCATAATCCTTGAATCTGACAGTTTGGGGACCCAGATTGCAGGGTGAGGTGGTGCAGGTCCAGGGCAGTGTCAGGCAGCTGCTCAAATGAGAGAGCAGAGCAACTTTGTCTAATTTTTAGTCCCTGCTTAGGATGCACTTGCTCACTGTTGTGTAGAGACAGCCCTGACACTCCAGATGTCACCCAGTTGTTGGACTGTGAAGGTGTGGTATCTCTGAACACCTGACAAAGAAACACAGAATTGAGATTTTGTGAGGTTTGGGAAAAATTCAGGAGGATTTGAGTCCTGCAATAGAGTTGAGGGCTTCAGTACCACTCTAACCCCCCTTTCCAAATTCCCAAGGAAATGCTTTAAAAGCATTTGGGAAATGAGGAAGAAACCTGTGTTCTGCTCATGCCAGTATGGGCAATGGGCTGGCTGGGAGCTTGGCCAGCCTGTGGAAAGTGCAGGCAGGTCGTGTTGACCTGCAGGTGACCGATACTGTGGATGAAATGGGAGCAAAGCTGATGCTCTGCCTGCCTTGAAAAATCAACTTTCTTCCTCTTTGTCTTTTGTTCTACAATATTTTTAGAAAAGCTTAGATATAAAGCTTATATAAAATTGGGAGATTAACTAGGTCAGCCTATTTCTGACCCCTGAACAGCCTGATGCTTTTCACTAGAGCTTTCTGACTTGTCTCAGGCTTCCAGATTTCAGAGCCCAGGCTAGTAAAGAGTAGAAAATGTTAGAGATGAAAAGTAACAGAATAAAAGCAGAGGAAAAACCAAAATGCTGCAGAGGTGGGAAGATGGTTCTTGAAAGTGGTCTTACCTGATAATCTGAGACTTTCAGGAAGGCTTGTGATCATGGAAAAACTTGTTCCCTGAAATGGCCATATCAGCTTGTCCCAGCAGATTGTGTATGGTATCTGGGGCAGCTTTCTTCTTGTTGTGCATAGAGGGCTTTAGCCTTTACCCTGCCTGTTTCCTTCTCCCTGCTCTGCTCCAGACGAGTCAAGCTCCAGTGGTGGACATCAGTTGTCTTCCCCTGAGCGTGGGCCACCTGCTGGTTCTGACACAGACAGCTCTGTAGAGGAGGAGAGTGACTTTGACACCATGCCAGAAATTGAAAGTGATAAGAACGTCATCCGCACTAAGGTACGGCTGGTGTTACAGCTGTGGCCATGATGCTGGGCCATGGACACATCTAGGCTAGGACTAGCAGTAGTCACTTGCCAGGATTTTTAAGTTTCTGCTTTCCTTTTAGGTGGATTTAGTCTAATAAAGCAGAATGTGCTTCTCAGTGTTTTTACAGAGTCTAGAAAGTTTTTCTGCTGTGCTAAGCGTGTTGCTGAAATGAGTGATTTAATATGGAAAATCAGAATGTATTGGGGACTATTGAGAAAAGAGGAAGAAGCCCAGAGTGCCCCAGAAAGTCCTAGGAGGTGCGACAGCATAGGGAGAAATTAATGTGCAATAGTAGGTAGTTATGTGGTACAACTAGTGTGACTACAGTGGATGTACAGAGGGGCTTTAAGCTAGCAGCTCTCAGACTGCCTCCTTTTGTTGCCTCACACTGCTCCTTGTGGTCAGAGCCATTCCTGGAGGTCAGAGGGTTTTGCAGAACTCATTTGCCATAGAATCAAGGGACACAAGAAGCTTGCTGTGTTTAAAAAAAAAAAAAACAAAACCAAAAAACCAAAAAAAACTTCTACTAGCTTCTGTAGTCTTCATTATTTTTTTTTTCTGTTTCCCTCTTTCCCCACCCACTAATGTTTTAGGTGTTCCTTTATCTATCAGACTTGTCCAGGAAGGACCGAAGGATTGTCAGCAAAAAATACAAAATCTATTTCTGGTAAGGAGAAGACAAACTGGTAAGGCTCAAACTCTAGGCCCAGTCTCTGGTTGTAGAGTTGGTCCACATGCCCTTCTTCTGAACCACACTTCATACCTGAGGGTGTTCTTTGAGCCATCCTGTTACATTCTGAGCCTGTTCCAATCAGTAACTGCAGATCCCATTTACCTCAAATAAGGATATTTGTGGACCAGTGCACACATGATCCTGGCAATGGATTCTGGTTTGCATAATTGCTTTGAAGTGTGGTAACAACCAGTGTGCTGGAACATACTGGGGAAGGGGAGAAATTGACACTTGAACACATGAGCTTGTGGTCCACACGCTGTCTTTTCTTGTGCCCATAGCATTTGCCTCCTGTTTGCATTAGCACATTTGCTCTCCTGCTTCAGGAGATTATAACCAGAAGTAAAAGCTCCAGCTGGGAGAGCAGGGTCTGGGCCCTTAAGCATTGAGGTGTACACATTCCTCCACAAGCACTGCAGGGCTCTGTCCTGGGTGTGCACCAATTGTTTTGGTGTGTGTAACTGCTGCTACTATCTCCTCTCTGCAGGAACATCATCACCATTGCAGTGTTTTATGCCCTGCCGGTCATCCAGCTTGTCATCACTTACCAGACGGTGCGTTGGGCATTGTGGCTGTCCCATGCACTTGGGTCCTCTTGCCTTTAAACTTGCTCTGTGGTTGCATGGTGTAAGGATGACAGTCAGTGAAACTGGGATCACCCAGGAATCCTGCTCTGTCTGAGGGGCAGTTTACCTTAGCTGGTCTCTGCACTGTGTTGAATGCTGCTGCTGGCTTGGCTCCTTGAGCTTGGAGTTCTGCTATTTTTGCTTGCGAAGCAGGAGTGCAGCTGGTTTCCTGCTCATCTGATGTCTCATTTGGGGCCTGTTTCATTTTAGAGGCAGGAGAAATCTGCTGTTATCTCTAAAAGACAACAAAAGCAAGTAGGCTTTGCTGTGATATGAGTGATTTCTTCTCCCTTCTCCCTACCCTTGCTACCCTGCTGTTATTCAGATATCTGCAAGCAGATCTATTAGCAGTGGGGTTGAGAGCATACGTTTCCTCTGAAGACTGTTCTCAGGTTTGTGGCCTGTGGCAACATCTTGTCCCCCGCTAAAAGCTTCACCTGCAGGTGTCAGTACTCCCCTGTGCCAGTGCTAGAGCTAGGCTGTGTCCTGGTACACCTTGTGTACATGCAGTGTTTGCATGAAGCAAAACCCCAGAACAGGGAGGATTTGCTAATGTCAGGTCTCCCACCTCCTCTCTGTCCAGGTAGTGAATGTGACGGGTAATCAGGACATCTGCTACTACAACTTTCTGTGCGCCCATCCCCTTGGGGTGCTGAGGTAAGTGAGCCCTACAGTCACTGTGTTATTGTCTTGTGCCTCCTGAGTGTTTGTGCTGTGCCCAGGTCAGGATTTTATCCTTGCCAGGCTCATAGTAACTGTGTTGATAATACCACTGAGAGTTTAGGATTCTGAGCTTTCTGTTTTGCTCAGCAGTGGCTTTCTGTTGCAGTGAGACACATGCACCCAGGAACATATGGCACCTGGGTTCTCCTAGCAAGCCTATGGCACAGCAATGAGGTGCTCCCATGCTCTTTTGGACACTTTCACTTGTATCAAAGAGCAGCAGCTCTGCAAAGAAGTTCAGCTTAGTCCTCAGTGCAGCATTTCTCTGAACTAATGTGGGAGTGCAAAGAAAGCCCAGAGTTGAGAATCTCACAGAGGAAGTGTTAAATCTACTGGAGCAGGTGAACTATTCAACCTAAAATTGTCATCCAGGGTGTAAAACTGGCAGGTGTTTGGCAGCTGCTGAGGTGGAGGATCGTGGTGGGGGAGCAAAATGGATTCAGCTTATCATGGCCTGGGGTTCATCCTCCTGCTGCTGTGCTGCCTTTGTCTTAAACCTTCTTTTTCCCTGCAGTGCCTTCAACAACATCCTCAGCAATGTGGGCCACATGCTGCTGGGTTTTCTTTTCCTCCTCATTGTGTTGCGCAGGGACATTCTCCACCGTCGGGCCATGGAGATAAAAGATGTCTATACCCTGGTAGGTAGGAAGTATGGTCGCATGGGGCTGAGTGGAGGGAGGAAAGACAGGGAAAACTTGAAAACCAGAGTGATACACAGCAGGTTTCCACTTGCCTTCCTTGCTGGAGTATTGAATCCTCCTTTCTTTTCCTCCCCTGAAAAAGGGTCTAGGTGGGATGCTTATGTTCTTGTGCACCCCAGTACTTTGCTGCTTACGGTATGTAAGCCATGGTGACCCAGCCTGGGCTTGTGAAGACAAGGAGACGAGTAGAGGAATGACTCTTGTGGCTGTGGCTTTTCCTCCAGTGCTCACTGTGGAGGAACTGGGGCAGTAGGGCTGTCCCAGGATGCTTTTGTTTTTAGTGAGGTTTGATTTGTCTTAAACAATCAAAAGTTCCTTCTTGGCACTCTTGTTAACAAGAGGGAATAGAGCTGCCTACAACAACCCAGAAGAATTTAGCTGTCTCTAGCTCTGAAGCAGAGCTGCTTGTAGTCAGAGCTTCTGCAGTCTCTTCAGTATCTTCTGGGAGAGGATGGAGAAATCTGCAGCCCTGTGGGCAGTGGTGCTGGTACTTTCCAGAGACAAACAGCTCTGTTTTCACTGGCTTGGTAGCAAGTAAAGACATTAGCAGTTTTAAGGGTCTGCTGCTTATGGTTTTCAGATGAGACCTCAGCCAGATTGTGATGGAGAAGCCTTCTCACCTGGGCTGATGGGCTCTGCTCCTCAAGTGCTTTTAACCCCATACTGACCACAAGAGCAAGGCTGCTATTCTGGGTCCCTAGTGCTCTCAGTTTTGGGCAGGATGTAGTATGGCACAAGGTACAGGACAGATTTTTAGTCTCAAGATGTCAGTACTATGACACTGAGGTCTTCAGACCAGAAGCTTCTGTGTGATTGGCTTGGGTTTGCTACCTGTGGATTCACCTGGCTATGCAGTGTGGCTAAATGCAGATCCTATGGTTGCACACAGCGCGCTGTGCTGCACTGGTAACTGAAGGACATGTGTAGGGGTTAGGAGGGATGGAAGCTTGCTTGTCATCAGGACAGTGAGGGTACTTACTATACAGCTCTGCTCTCTTCCAGGACTATGGGATCCCAAAGCATTTTGGTCTCTTTTATGCTATGGGCATTGCTCTGATGATGGAAGGGGTGCTCAGTGCCTGTTATCACGTCTGCCCTAATTACTCCAATTTCCAGTTTGGTAAGCTGAGCTTCCTTTTTTCTTTTGAGCTGGAGGTAGGATTTGCCATGCTCTATCTCCTGCTGAGTTGCTGGCATTTCCCATCCCTCTACCCTTGCAAACCTCCCTGGAGTCTGCCTGTTCCAGGGCTCAGTTAAGAGGCAGTGGGTCTTTGGATGCTGGGGACTAATGCATTTCAGCCTCCTCTCCAGACCTTGGGACTCTGGTATTGCACTGCTGGCAAGATCTCCCTTTGCTTTTGCAGCTCAGTGTTTGAAGATACTAAGTGCACAGCCTGAGTGGCAGAGTGCTCAAGCGTAGGAAGTCTCTGTCTGCCATCTCAGTGGAAACTTTTCTCTGTGGGCTCCTTTGCCTTCCTAGGGAAGAGAAGACTCAGGCAGGATCTTGTCTATGTGTGTAAATACCCAATGAGAGGGAATGAAGATGAGTGATCCAGGCTCTTTACAGTGGTTCTCAGTGACAGAACAAGAGGCAATGGGCACAAATTAAAACACAGGAAACTCCATCTGAACACAGGAATTTTTTTTTTTTTCTCTAAGGGTGATCAAAGACTGAACAGGTTGCCCATAGAGGTTGTGAAGTCTTCTATGGAGGTATTCGAGGCCTGACTGGACATGGTCCTGGACAACCCTCTCATAGCTGACCCTGCTTGAGCAGAGGGTGTTGGACCAGACAACCTCCAGAGGTCCCTTCTAACCTCAACCATTCTGTAATTCCCTGCCTGTTTCTGTGCAGCAGTGTGGGCATTTATTTTCTGAGCCCCTTTAGTTTTTGTTGCCCTAGAGCATGGTAAATGTGCTGCAAGATGGCAAAGCACAAAGTGCTGTACAGTGTAGTGCAGTGTCAGGGATTTGTGCCTGCCAGCCTTGGGTTTGGCCCTGCTGCTGCACTTCTTCCTATGCACTCAGAGCAGCTTTTTCAGCCTACTGACAGTACCTGTTTTCACTGTTTCTGTTGTGCTCCCTCCATAGACACCTCCTTCATGTACATGATCGCAGGACTGTGCATGCTCAAGCTCTACCAGACCCGCCACCCAGACATCAATGCCAGTGCCTACTCTGCCTATGCCTCGTTTGCTGTGGTGATCTGTCTGGCCGTCCTTGGAGTGGTATGGCTCCCTCTTACCTACCTGCTTCTCTGGGAAGGAGATGGTGTGGCTGGGAACATAGCTTAAGTGGGCAAATGACTGGGGAGAGCAGCAGGGTAGGATAAGAGTGTTAAGAAGCTGCTAGCATTTGAATTCATAGTACTCTTGTGTTTTCCTCCTCCCTTACCCTGGCCTTGCAGGGAGGGGAAGAGCAGTTTTCTCTAGGTGGGCTCCTTTTTGGGCTTTGCCCACCACATGCCCTCAAGAGGAGAAATTCATGCATCCAGATGTCTGTGACCAAGCATGCAGCTGGTCTTTTGTAGGGTTGCTCACCTTGGAGGAGAGGGGTGAGCTTCCAAGGCAGGTGTCCTCTACGTAATTGCTTCTGCTTCTTTCTCCCCTTTGGAAAACTCTGTTGCTAGGTACAGCTCCTGCAAATTGGCTTTGCTATCTTTGGAGAGGTGGAGGGCTAGAATAATGGCTGAGGGGCTCCCGGGCAAGTTTCTGGAGCACCTGCCTATAGAAGGGCATTGGAGCAGAAGGAATTTGGAGCAGAGGATTGCTCTTGTGCAGCAGTGGTCCCTGACAGGTCAGGCTTTGCCCATTTGCTCATAGCATTGCAGGTGTTGAGCTGGGCTTGCCTGAATCCCTAGCCTGTGCTTTACCTTGGAGGTCTCTGCTTCTCTTTTTTTAGGAAGGCTTGGTTTCATTTGGCAGTAACCAGGCAAAGTCCATTAAATTCTTCCTCTGAACTAGTAGCTGGGTCCCAGCAGGCTGTCAGCCCCTCACTACTTGACATAATGCAGAATAACAATTGATTTCTGCAAATGTTTCTATGTAGGGGACTATGGGATAAGGCATGCAGGAGCAGCTGGTGAACTTGGTACTTTCCAAGAATCTCTTGATAGCTGTGGTAGATCTGCACACCCAGGTTCAAAACACTGGGGTTTTATTATGGGATACTGTATTTTTTTCTTGTGGGATGTTTTGAAGCTGTAGAGTAGAGCTTATAAACTGCACGTCTCTTTTGCGGCATCATGCAGAGGTGGCTTTTCTGCTTGCTTCTTTTTTTTCCCCACACAAAATGAAATGTTCAGGCATGTGCTGTGCCCCAGAGGAGGGGAGTGTGGGGTCACAGCTTGATGGCAGACTAGAGTTTCTGGACTTCTTAACGTATAACTGAAAAATTAAAGTTTTAATATAGCATTAACCTGCCTTTGTAGGTCACTTCCAGGCCTTAAATAAAGTGAAAGTGTAAAAGAGGTGCAATTGCCTGCAGAGCAGCTTTGTCCTTTTTTGTCTACTGTGATGCACTCGTTAAAGTAATGGTTGGTTCCCTGACTGCCTTTATAAAAATCCAGCTCCTGGCCAGAGACCTGCTGCCCACCTCAGCAAGGAGAGCTTGCCTGCCTGGGTTTCCCTGCATTTCTGCTCCCTGGGCCAGCTGCAGTCCTTCCAAGCCGTCATCCTTGTCTGAGGAGGTGTTCAGAAAGAATGGTCTCCTCTCCAGAAGTGCTGAGCTCCTCTTGCTTCTCTGGACTTTGTCTGGATTTGTAGATCTGGTTTCGGGTTAGAAGATTTGGGGGTTTCTCTTCCATGTTCAGTGGGGTTGTCTAATGCCCCATGGTGACACAGGAGAGAAAAGGATCAACCTGCTGATAACAGGGCTCAGTTTGCTTTTAATATGTCTGCTTTCAGGTGTTTGGGAAAAATGACATGTGGTTTTGGATCATTTTCTCAATGATCCATGTTTTGGCCTCTCTGGCTCTCAGCACCCAGATCTACTACATGGGCCGCTTCAAGATCGGTAAGTGCTGTGACTGAACTATCTTGCTCTAGGGTGTGCAGGTGCCTCCTGTCCTCACCTGAGCGAGTCACCTATGCAGCGCATCTGTGAGCACAGTCCCGTGGCCTGTGTTTGTGTTCTGGGTTATCCTGTCCTCTCATCCATCTGATGCTTTTCCTGGCCTCTGAATTCCTTGTGCTGCTGCTTCCCAGACCTATGGGAATCAGCAGGACCCGTCTGCTCTGTGGTGGCAGAAGAGCTGGGCTCTGAGGGAGCCTGCCCTTCAGCTACAGCTCTCCCTAATGCTGTGCTCAGAGCGGTGAGCTAGGTAAAACCCTGTCATGGGGTGAGGGGGGAGAGGGTCTGGTGGGGAACCTGGCTCTTGTTCTTTGCTTACAACCATGTTTCTCCTTCCTCTTCTGCTTCTGTCTGCCTCAGATGGCCCTGACTCAGGTAACTGTCAGCAGCTCTCATTTTTCTCTGTTGAACTGATTGAGCAGTGGCATAGCAGCTGGGGATGCATGGATGTGTGCGGGGAGGCAGGCTTGTGTGCCACCTGGGGTCACCTCTTGAGAAGAGAAGTCAGTTTGCCAGCACCACTACCAGTCCTGTTTCTTGACAGGAAGGTGGTGATATAGCACAGGAGAGCTCTGCCCTTGGCGCAGGAGCCTTTTCAAGCTCTGTGTTTGTGATTGAAGAGGGACATGTTTGTGCGTGCGTGTCTGTCCATGCCCACTGCCACTGATGGCTCTGCAGTGAAGCTTCTGCAATGATTTTGAGAGCAGGTGTGTGTTGTCTTGAGTGTGCTCTGCCCCTCTAGGACCTTCTAAGGGCTGTGGGATCTGTTTCTGGTGTTTCCCTGCTCTGGCAGCTTGTTTCATGGAAGGTGCTTTTCCCCCTTCCTGCACACACATCTCTTCCAGAGATGTGGTTGCAAAGCCAGTCTGTTTATATGTACAGAGAGGGCCTATTTGACTTCCGGGTAGCGCTAGTGTGGAGGGTTTTTTCTTATTTTCTTTTTTACCTGTTGTTCTGGCCAAATGCCATCCACATCCTGTGGTGGCTGCCCTTCTGCTCAGACTGCTCCCAAAGAGCAAGAAATTAATCTGTTGACACCCTGACCATCCGCAGGCTGGGTCCTCTGTTGTCAGCTGGTGGCTGTCCACATCTTTCCCCTGTAGGCATTTTGGAGCTTAATCTGCTGGCTGTTCTGGCTTTTTATCCTCTTCTTTGACAGACTTGGGGATATTTCGACGGGCAACGATGGTACTGTACACGGACTGTATCCAGCAGTGCAGTCGACCAATGTACATGGTAGGTGACTTCTCATCTCAGCACCTCCCTCAGCAATTGCTCACTTCCTAGGCAATGTGCAGAGGGAAGAGGTGTGGCTATTTGAAAAAGTGATGCTCCCTGCCTCCCTTCTGTGCCCTCCCCCAAAATGTTTGGGTAAGTGTAGATCTCTGTGAAGTGGTTTACCCCCACCTTCAGGCCTCCCCTGATATCAGGCTTAGTGAATAAAACATCAGAGCAAAGGTGATACAGCATGGTAGGATTCGCCTTTGCTCTTGCTCTCTGGGTGCATCTGTCCAAAGGAGTGTGTATGAGGCTCTGTGCAGCCCAGTCTCTCTGGGGAAGGCAGTGACTATTTTGGCTCTGTGGCTTAAGCAACAGCTATTGCTATTTCTACAGCACCTCAGGGCAGACAGCAAAAAAAGTAAGAAATGGTAGCTGTTACCTTGTGTCCCCCTGATACTTTCTTCTTGGCACAGAGTGCCAATTAGGGCTTGAAGTCAAATGAAGTTATTATCCATGAGCATCCCCCCCCCCGAATAAGGGTCAGACCAAGTTTTGCAAGCAAACTCAGTGCACTCAGGCATAAAGTAAGCCTGGCTGGCCTGAAATAGCTTCATCATGAAAGCAGCTGTAAGCGTAAATGCATATGCCCCACAGATGTAACCCTTCTGCCTGCTGTAGTTATAGTGCTTCCCTAGCTAATGGTGAGATGGGTGAAAAAAGGCTCTGTGGATATGTGTGGGATGCTACCAAAGCTTCCCCTGCTGCTGCTTTCAAGCACATCCTTGCTCTGTGCAACAATTTTTCTGTAAAATAGTGGGAGAGAATGAATCTAACTAGAAAAGCAGTGGAAATGGTCAAAGAATTTGCAGAACCTTCTGAGTCTGATTCTTAAGTCCTGGGCTTGTCCTTTTTTAGATGTTTAGTCTCCTTCTTGCAATGCTTTCCTCAAATTTGTAAGGGCCAGAGCAGTTTCCATCTGGCAAAAGCTCGTGCAGTGCAAACTTCAGAGCCAGGTGTGTGTGTGTTTGCAGGAACCAGACTCCAAATCCTCACATAATGATACCCTGAATTTCTAAGGCAAAGGCCTCTTTTTGCATTTCCTTCTGCATTCGTATGATCATCAGTGTCTTCTCTTCAGGACAGGATGGTGCTGCTCATTGTTGGAAACCTGGTCAACTGGTCCTTGTAAGTAGTGGAGTGCTTGTCTTGCATACTTGTGCTTGTGGGCAGCAGGATTCAGTATTGACACATGCGTGGCCTGAAGTGATGGGGAAATGCAGCAGAGTCTGTGCAATAGTCCTGTGCTGGGGCCCTTCTGACAGGTTTTGGCAAGGAGCTTGATCTGATGAGCACTGATGGTAGGCAGATCCATAGGACGCAGTGCAGCGCTACAGAGCTATGTGAGGCATCCCTAAGCACTTCAGCTGGTGCTGTCTCATGGCTTGTGTCTGAGCGAGCTTGTATAGGGCTGGCCTGGTACCGTGGTGCTGCATTGTTCTGTACACATGCTTCCCACATAGCTGGGACGTCTCTGGCACAGCGAAGGTGGAGGAGACTTGACAGACACTTGTTAGTCAGTCACAGAGCCTGGCTCAGCAGTAACTGCATGGATGGAAGGGATCAGCTGTTGGATGAGACTTAAAATCATTGCCCCAAGCTCTTGCTTTTCACTAAAGCTGCTTCTCGGGGATGTGCCTTCTGCTAAACGTACAGGTCTGGGGCCAACTCCTACCAAGTGAGATGCATTGGCTGTGGGTTGGAAGCAACTCAGGGCCCTTGCCTGTCTTCTGGGGTCTCCAGGTTCGCTCAGCGGCTGACCATGGCTGAGTTTGCTCGGCAGAGAGCAGAGGTGAATGGTGCGTTTCCTCCAGGGAATTGGGAGGCTGTGGCAATGTTGCTGTGTCCTGTGGTCTGGTGGGGCAGTGGGTGGCTGTCAGTTTGGGGATGTACAGTGTCCCCAGTGAAAGAGGCTGTCTAATGTCCCTTCTTCCCCCTCTCTCAGTGCTATCTTTGGGCTGCTGTATCGGCCCAGAGACTTTGCCTCCTACATACTGGGGATCTTTATCTGTAACCTGTTGCTGTATCTGGCTTTCTACATCATCATGAAGGTAAAGGGAGGCAGCTGTAGCTGTCCCTGGGGTGCCTGTCTCCAAAGGGGAAGGGATGGGTCTCTTTTCTGGCTGCAGTTTGGGTTCCTGTGGTGCTGCAGAGGGATGTGGAGGGGCCTTTGTGGGGCTCAGGGTGGGACAAGGTGTTGGTGTTGGGGAGGGATGCTGTGTAGCCATCTCAGGGGTGGCTGGACTGTGACTCCCTGGGGTGGGCAGCCCTTTGCAGATGCAGATGGTCCAGGCTGGTGTTTCAGCCCTATGCATGGCTTTGGCCCCTGGGAAGAACTCAGGGTGTGTTGTGAGGCTATGTCCCTGTCTGCAGCTCCGCAGCTCTGAGAAGCTCCTGCCCATCCCCATGTTCTGCATCATGGCCACGGCAGTGGTGTGGGCAGCTGCCCTCTACTTCTTCTTCCAGAACCTCAGCAGCTGGGAGGTAAAGTTCCCCTTTTACTGTCCTGTCCATCTCTCATCATCTTTCCTTCCTGTTGTTTGTTTTACACAAAAAATACTCTGGGAAGAGTCTTGGGCTGCTCATGGAGAGCTGAAAGGGTTTAACTCCTTCAGAAGACTGGGAAGGGAGCATGGGAAGCTGTGCTGAGTGTGCAGCTATGGAGAGACTATGACCCAGGTGATCCAGAGATGACTGGCCCTCACCAGGGGACAGAGGAGGAGCTGGGGATCTGAAAGCAAAACTGGATAAATCCTGACCAGTGCTGGATGGAAGACTTCTTCCTGGAGCAGATGGCCAATGGGGAATAATCTGCCTGGGGTTGTGGAGACTCTTCATGGCCTGGGAGGCTCTTTAAATCCTGACTGAATGCCTTCTAACAAGATACCATGTCCATCTCCATGGAAGTGACAGGCTTGCTGCAGGGTGGTCTGGTGGAGGCTGTGCAGCTTGTGCTATGCTGGACCTTGGATGTGGAGACCAGAGGGTTCCCCCCAGCTGTGGGTTGTGGCCCCAGATCCATCTCCAGGTCTAAGTATGACATTATGTTCCTGCCCTGCTCTCACCACATGTCCAGCCAGCACAGTGCTTTTTCCTGGCTCCTGCATGGAGCGTTAAGGCAGGGTGATCTCCAGGGGGTGCAATGTGGCCAGCCAGGATTGGATATGAGGTATGAGTGGATATGAGGTATGAGTGCATATCAGGTCCTCACTGCTTGCCCACTCCCCTAGGAGACTCCAGCAGAGTCCCGGGAAAAGAACCGTCCATGCATCCTGCTGGGCTTCTTCGATGACCATGATGTCTGGCACTTCCTCTCTGCGGCTGCCTTGTTCTTCTCCTTTCTGGTAAGTCCTGCTGAGCCTCACCCTCCTTGTCCCTCTCTATCCGCATGGAGCTGCGGCTGCCCCAGGATGCCACAGAAGTGCCCCAGCTCCTCTGCTTGGCTCTGCCTCCAGTCATCCTTCACAGTGGGATGCTCCTTGTCAGTGGGATCAGGAATCAGGCTTTCTCTTTTGGCTTGTTGCTCCCTGTGCCTCCTGGCCTCAAATTCCCTCTGGGGCTGTGGGTCACACAGCTGTTGTGGGGAAGCTGAGGGGCTGCTGGTATGACCAGCCCTCTCATGGGTTTGTGAGGACCTCCAAGGAAGGGACCCTACTTTCTTTGACCCAGGTAGTAGGGTCACTGGTGTGGAGCTTAGCTCGCTCCTAGACTTTCTGTCACTTCCGTAAATTGACTCCTGTGCTTCTCTACTTGGTACCACTTTTCAGACCTGAAGGTCTGTGTGGTGGAAAAGGTGGAGGCATCCCCTGCGATGGGGTTGGAGTGTAGTATTTTGGGGAAGTGGAGAAGGAGGCCTTAACCCTAGCTGTGCAAGGTGCAAACTGTGTGTGAAGGAGCTGCCTGGCCGCTTGCAATGCCTGAGCTGTGGTCAAGCAACTCCCACCCTGCTGCCTCCTGGATGGCTCTTCAGAGGCTAGTGATGAGGGACCAGTTTACAAGCAGCGTCTCCATCATGGTGGGGGCAGGATTACCTGCTCAGGTCCTTGCAGCACTGTAGGCAGAGCTGCCTGTCAGCTGTGCTGCCAGAGTGACTTGCTGGGAGCATTACAGAAACAAAGTTCATATGGCACATCTACATGGGTTCCTGTCGTGACTTCTGTACGTGCTGGAGACATGGCCCAGGTGGAGCCCCCCTGTGATGCGATGCCATCAGGAGCTGGTTGTTCTGCCCAGCCATGGGCTGGCCAGCAAGACCTGAAGCTGCCTCGCACTTTCCTCCTCAGGTCCTGCTGACCCTGGATGATGACCTGGACGTGGTGCGCAGGGACAAGATCCCAGTGTTCTGAGTCCTCAGGGCACAGGGGCGCAGGGACGTCCCAAACTGCTCAGCCAAAGGCACTGGGCCAACTGGTGTCTGTGGGGAATGAGCTTGCTTCCATGGCCAACAACCCCGTGGGAGCAGGGGAGCCAGATCCCACAGCAAGCACGAAGGGGTGCTGCGGTAACTGAGGCAGGACTGGGAGGGAAGACAACACTTGCTGCTTTCCTACCGCATCCTCTGGGGCAGGCACGACCCAGGGGCCGAGGACAGTGCCCAGCCCTCCGGCTTGTAGGTGCAGTGGGTGCTGGAGCCAGTGAAGAGGGAGGAAACTGGAGGTGTGTTTGAGACCTTTGCTTCCCTTCGTCCCTGCTGATGTGCTCCGCTTCCTCTCCAGTGAGCAGGCTTGATAAGTGTAATGCAGCTCCTCCTGCATCTGCAACTGGCACCTGTACCCTGCAGGCTGCTGCCCTCGGAGAGTCCCTTTGGCAGCACAGGGAGAGAATTTGGTTCCTGTCCTGCAGCCGCCGAGGGAGCAAAGGACTCCAAACTGAGGTGGAAGTAGGGGACTGTTTTCTCTTTTTTGTTGGAGAGGCTCCCCCCTCCTGTAGCTGGTGGGGAGCCATGGTAACAAGAGACTGCAGTGTTGGAGGGGAAATGGTGGACTAGAGCTGCCCATGAGTGCTCTACTAGAGGCAGAATCTCCCGCCTTGCTCTTGCAGCCTCTCTCACTTACTCACATTGAACAGCCTCACTTCACTCTGGTGACTCCTACACAGGCACTTGCCAGCGTGATGGTCTCTTTCACAGCACCAGAAGTGCTGTCCTCAAGTGACCGTAAGAGAGATGGTGTGGCGAAGCCGCAGCCTTGCATGCTGGGCAGCTCCTTGGCAGCTCCTGCTGTGTGGCCTTGCTAAAGGGGCAAGGTGGAATGGGGAGGCTGTCCAGCAGCCTCAGACTTTTTCCTCCCACAAGCTTGCTTTGGGAAAACTTGGCAAAACAGGTTTCCTTATAGGCTGGGAGTGTGGAGGAGGTTTTGGGGCGGTTGGGGTTGAGCTCTTCAGCTAAAGATCTGGACCAAACTTTTTTTTGTCTCCAACTTTTCTGCATCTGAAACAAGTTTTTAAATGGCTTCTGCATTCTTCCTGAATTCTTAGTTATTTAAAAAACAAGAATAAGGTGTGAATTATTTCAGGCCTTGCATCTAAAATGTGACCTGTTTTGCTAATTTTGAATTAAAAAGTATTCTTTGAGGCCTGCTGTCCTTATTCTTGTCATTGTCTGAGCACTTTTCCTTTGATGTATGTGCATGTAGTCAGTGATGCAAAGGCTCCATTCCACTTGTGCTTACCAAAGCAGATGACTATGGTAATTTTCTACTCCAAGAAGCCTGTATCTCCTAGCTTTTAAGGTTTTAAACTAGCTGGTTTTTATTTTTTCTAAGTTGGAGTTTTTCAAGATGGTCAATAAAATGAATGTTCCTAGCTCCCTGCTCTGCAGGTTGATTGGAATTCTTCTTGCTCCAGCTCTCAGCAGCAGCAGAGAGCACTTGGGGCAGAGGGGTGCCAGCTGCTGTCATCCTTAGGACCCTTGCAAACAGTTTCCTGAGCATAGGTGCAGATGACTTGCTTGTTCTCTTAAGCAAATTGCCTTTGAGAGGCTAAATAGAGTAAAGAACAGACACTATTGTTTGTCACTGTAGCCCCTTTGGCAGAGTGGAGGAGGAATGACAAAAGAGGCTGCCAGCCGCTATCTTCCTGAGCAGAGCTGCACTGCTCCGGAGATGTAGCTGCGTTTCAGGCAGGGTGTGCCAGAACACGCAGAAGGTGGCAGCGGTCTCTGTGTGCTGCGCTTTGGGCTTGACTTGCACGTTTGCCATGCAGATGGAGTTGTGAATGTTTCGTGTTTGAAATAGGGATAGGTTTCTCAGGCTTGTTGCGAAGCATGAGCTTCTCTTCCTTAACAGCATCACCATGGGCTGCAGGGAAGGAGATGACACTTGCTTTTGTCGGAGTAGCACCAGCAGTGGAGTATCAAGCTGAGGATAGTCCATGTTTTCCATTCAGCCACCCTGCAGCCTTGCCATATGTTCTTGGTGTGTCTAAAATGGTAGATTCCAATATTAGCGACATAGGCTTGCCGGCAGCTTCCTTTTTCTTCTCATAAGGAAAGACTGCCAGGAAGTCTGAGGTGCAAAAAACCTCCCCAAATCCTTACTGCCGAGTGCAGCAAGACTGAACCACCCCCGTCAGGGACTCCTGGTGGGGCTGTGGTGCTTTGTCTGTGCAATGGAGTCGCCTGGGTTTCTGTACCCAGAGGTGTATGAATGTTTGACCTGAGAGCTTTTTTGCAACATGTACTCTGTGCTGCCCTGTCCCTCTCCCTGCAAATGCAAGGGCTACTGTAGGTCCCCAGGTGCTGCACTTCCAGTTCTCTGATCAGTGAAACCAAAAGTTGTTGTAATAATACCTGGGGTGTGCAGGATGTGCTCTTTCCAGAGAGCTCTACTTGGAGGGCAGGTGGTAACATGCAGTGACAGCCCTGCTGCCAGCACCATCCATTCCCTCCCTTCTCTCTGCTTCTCTAGTCCTGGCCCTGGCAGCAGGAGCTGAGGTCTGGGGCACAGCTGCTCAGAGCCCTGCTGCATGGTGGCACCTGGAAGCTGCATGAAGAGCTGCAGCAGTAGATCTGTTGGGAGGTGATGTGTAATGGTCACATCTTTTGCTGCTGGGTGAGCTAGGGAGCAAGTGGGGCAGTGCTTTGGGGCCAGGACTGGGGGAGGCAGCAGCAGCAGAAGGGGAGAAAATTTCCTGATGGAGTCCTCATCATGGGCCTTGCATGTACAGTATCTTGCTCTAGCAAGTGCCTGGAAAACTTCAGGTTGAGCCCTGTGTGTGCCTTCAGGGTGGGTTACAAGGCTTTGTGCTGGGATGTGCTCACAGGACAGCAGTGCTGCGGTGGGCAGGATAAATCCCTGGGTGCTGGGGACATGTGGGGTTTGAACACAGCCTGCCAGCACCAGCAGGTTGAGCACGAACTCCCATGCAGTGCTAAACTGAAAGAAACCTCTACTTGAACCTTGCCCCTCTGGGACCTGGAGGGAGCTGTGTAAATCTTGTCTAGGGTGGGAGCTTGTCAAGGTGGGAGGCTATGCTGGGGTGATTAAAGGTGCTTGAAGTGGAGATACTACCCTGCTGTTGCCCAAGGCTCAACAGTTGGAGCATCTGCATGCTGTGGGAACTTCACTAGCCTTTAGTCTTTCAACTGCCTGGTTTCTCTGGTGTCCATGCTGCAATCACACCTTGCAGCTGCAACTGCACCATGTAAAGCATTCCAGAGCCCAGTGAATATTTTTACATGAAGTGGGCAAGTCCGGCCGGAGACTCCAGTGTGGTTTCTTACTAGAATTAGCAAATGCTGCCTCCCTCAGTTCCCTTGAGCCAGAGAGACAGGGAGAAGAGGAACACTAGTTAAAAAAACCTGTTGATCTTGGCAGATCATCAGAACTGGTGTACAAGCAGGTATTTGGGGGGGGGGGAGTGACACTTGGAGGATCCAGTGTTGGATCCTGCCATTTGTGAGTCTCACCTGAAGTCCTCTTTTCTCACTGTGCTGCCTTCATACCCCTGCTTAGTCAGGTGCAGGATGGGCTTTCGCCTTGCAGGACTGCCCTTACCCTGTGTTTAGGTGTGGAGAAAGGTGTGAGCAGCTTTTCCTCTTGTACAAGTGTGTTCTGCTTTTGATGTATTTTGTGGTGCACAGAAGTCAAGGACATAGGACAAGGTGTTGGGGTAGTAGGAATATCGCTTCTGTGGCAGACTGAAGAAGGGCTTGTGTGCCCCCAAATTTGTCCAGTTTTGGACACACATTTTCATAAAAGATATTCCTTCTCCCTATGTCTTCCATAGTCTGTAGTTTCAGACCTTGTTCCAAGCTTGTATTTGCTTCTAGCCAGGAAGGTGGTTATTTCCTCTAAATAGGAATGTGAGGAAAAAAACTAATGTTGAACAGCAGTTGGAAGACTGGAGGTAGGAGAGCAACATATGCGCTCGCTGAGCTAAGCAGAGATGAGCACAATATGCAAATGGCAAGGTGGTAGCAGTGCGGGAGAGAGAGGCTGGAGAACAGCACAGAACAAGCAGAAAAACTTGAGAATTAAATTAAATACAAGGAGAGGCACCTCAAGCCTAAGAGGTGGGAGGAAGGGTTGGAATCGTTTCCCTGCTGCTTCTGTGCCTCCAGCTTGATGCATCAATTTTTAAAATTTCCTCTTAGCTTTGCTCTGCCTGCTGGTTTCTGTTTGTACTTCAATTCTCCCACCCAGCGGCCGCATGGCTCAGCCTGATGTTGTGGCTGCAGGGGTATCTCGATGATTCTGGCTGGTGAGATGTCTGGCTGGGCATGTGGGCAGCTCTGTGTCTCCTAGCTGTCCTCATCAAGCTGGGCTATGCAGCACCTGATCTGCAGGTGTCACAGTGTTAGTTGGAGGTGTGGAGGGAGAAAAGCAAAGCAGCTGATGTGTGGGTTGTGTTAGAAGGTGGGGGCCCTTCTGCTGCCCATGGGCCAGTAGCAGGGTCCCTGCTTCCCCCATCATGTGCTCATCCCTCCTACGCTCAGCACAAACTGCTGTAACAACTCTTGAAAGGGAAGCAAATGGTTCAGTTTTCTGGTGAACCCCCTTAGTGGGTTTAAGTGGCTCGCTGCAGGGGTCGAGGGGCTTGAAGGAAGCAGGAACTGGCCTGGCTGGAAGTGGCGGCTGCCAGGGTAACTCTGTGTGTTGTGGAAGCTGTACCTGCCCAGGAATATCCACCCTAAGCTTTCCACAGTTGGTCATTAAATACTCAGGCTTATTTGCCATGTCATGAAATATATTTGCTGTTTTTATAAGCAAAAGAGCTACCAACACTCAGCTTTGTATAATTGTTGTGTTACCTCCTGCAATGCCCTCCCCATTCCCACATTTTTCCCAAGTAAAAGCTGGTGCAGGGCTGTGGCTGGGTCAAGCAATTCTGCAGGGCCAGAAAGCTGCTGCCAGGCAGGCTCTGCCCTACCTTCCGCGGTTGCAACGTGATCTGCCTCTTGCCTCTGCTGTGCTCTTCTCTTCACACAGTGCCCGGGCACCTGAAGGTGTCAGGAAACATAGGTAAAGTTGTTCTGTCTGGTACAACTCAAACTTTTGTAGAACGATAATAAAACCCCCTCACAGTTTAGGGAAGCTATTAGGATCTTGTGAGCTGACAGTGTTACAGCTACCACCAAAACCTCTGGGACGGTAGAAGAGCAGCCAAGGCAGGGGGAGTATGCTGCGTTTTGAAATGTGAAGGCACAGTTTTAGGAGAAATGTTAACTTGTCCACAGCTAAATGTAGATTTTGTGCCTATTAAAACAGCAGCACCTACACTGAGCAAAAGGGTCTTTGGTGGGGGGAAGTGAGCAATGACAGCAGCAGGGAGATATTGAGTTTATCCATGACATGAACAGGCTGTATTTGAGACTGAAGTATGCTGCCTGCGGGTATGCTCCACCTCTAGCTCAAGATGGGGGAAAAACACTTAGAGCCAGTTTCACTTGTTTTTTTTTTTTGTATGTGGTTTCCCTCACGTACACACGCCTGTGGCTGCACCAAGCGTTTGTATGAGCCCAGCAGACCCGAGGGCCCCCAGCAGCTTTCAGCATGGAGGACAAGCGGGACCCTCACTCCCCCAGTGCGCTGCTGGGGCCTCGGTGGAAACTGCGCCAGCAGCCCTGCTCCATCTCCCACAGGTAAGCACCGCACCCGCATCTGTTGTAGTTAGCCAGCGGTGAGGGCATCAGAAGGTATTCAGATGCCTTGTGTCCTGTTTCCCCTCCTCTCTACTACGATAGCAGGTCTCTACAGCAGGAAACTTCACCTTTATGCAGTGTGCTGGCACAACTCTGACACTGAAGCTGGGGCTGTTGCTCGTGGGTAGTGTTTGGGGCGGTTAACTAGCCCTGCCTGGCAGCTCTCGGGCCTGAGCTGCCCTCTCAAGGCAGGGAAATTGGGCTGAGAGTAGGTTACTATGACTGCTCGGAGACTGTCCTTAGTCCTGCACATGTTGTCTTGATGTTCTGAACTACAGTGATCTCTGAACACAGCCTCCTCGTTAAACTATAGATACTGGCTGTTGCTGAAGTAACAAAATAGCAGCTCATTTGTCTTAATACTAAATTTTAATTAAAAAAAAAAAAAATCCATGAGGGCATCTTCCCTGTCCACCAGAATTTTGAGGTTTACAAGCAAGGCATTGTGGAGCCCCTGAAAGCAATTGTTTCCTAGCAATTCTGTCAACTCCTCCTCTATTATGCAGCCTCCTACAAAGCCTTTACTTACTTTGCAGCCTCTCTGCACCCGTCTCATTCAAACCACATCCTTTAGATTCAAACTGTGACAAAGGAACTATTGTAGAGCACTTTACAACCACTATGGCAGTGCGTGATGAGAAGCATTTTATAAAGCTGATGTTGTATCTTAACACAGTGATCACTGTCATCTGGGTAGGGACAGCACCTGCCACGCATTACTTAGATACTTCATTATCAGTTTATGTTTCTTCTGGATTATGTAGTGTTATATATCCAGATAAAGGGTGCGTAACTCTGGTCTATATCATAGAATGGTTTGGTTTGGAAGGGACCTTAAAGATCATCTAGTTCCACCCCCTTGCCATGGGCACCTTCCACTAGACCAGGCTGCTCAAAGCCCCATCCAACCTCACCTTGAACACTGCCAGGCTTTCTAGGCTGCAAGCACATGTTGCTGGATCATGTTGAGCTCTCAACCACCACCCCCAAGTTCTTCTCTGCAGGACTGCTCTCAATCCACT